CCCAAACACACCAAGAGAGAAAAACAAGTAAATTAATAATTACTTCTCTTCCCTTCATGTGAAATTACATATTTTGTAATTGTTTCACTAAGTATTACACGTGCAAGTGATGCTTAGGACAAGAGTGGAAACTACAGCCCTGAAGCCGATATGACAACGTCTTCTGCTGATATTTCACACTCATTCTGTGTAGAACAGGACAAAGTGTCAAACACTGACTTATTCCACAGGAGAGTCTATCAGTCTGAAAACACAGACACCCTCTAGATCAGTGGTTCTCAAAATATGGTACATGTACCACAAGTGGTATGCGGAGCGTCACTAGGTGTTACACCATATGACCTTGGAACTTTGTTTTCCAACTGAAAAATTGGGACGGGTTTTCACATTTTCTATTTTAATAAAATTAGTTTGTGTCAAATACGGCACCTATGTACTACGATACAGCACGTGTTAATACTTGATTTGGACACAAGAGCTATTCTAAACCATTGTATAGGAGTGCGTGCTATGAACGTAAGTGACCAGTTGTATTTTAAAAAAGTTATCTCCAGCAAATAGGGAGGTAGGAGAATGTATGTGATTTTGGAACAATGCCAAACTTGTAAGCACAAGAGAGTGTGATAGATATCAGAAAAATATTTAAGAACTGTTCTAGGTTAATTTGAGAAAAATACACAGAGTGTCTCTGTGTTTCGCTCCCATGCGCATGAAATAAGAACTTCTTTTAACTTCTGAGATGGATCCCTGAAACAGGGAAAAATGCAAGCTTGCAGATTGCTAAAGCAGGTAAGCCCCAAACTATTTTTGAAGAACCTTATTTACCACTGGGAAAAGAGCTGACACGTATTGTCTGTGGAGAAAAAGCTGCTAAACAGCTCGACCTTCTGCCCCCTGCGAAAGACAATCACTCGTAGAATTATTGATATGGCGGATGATATCAAAAGATGAGCAGATGCTTTTCACTGCAATATTTCAGCTTCTGAATGAATTTATCGAAGAGAATGGTGTCAGTTGGATGAAATGCATCTGAGTTTGTATAGACGGTGCTAGAGCGATGACAAGCCGACACAGCGGTGTAGTTAGAGATGTTGTTCTAGATATGAAGTGGACGCACTGCAGCCTTGGCCGTCAAGAAAATGCCTGTGGATTTAAAATCTGTTAGACTTTGTTGTGAATTGTATCAAGGCTCGAAAAATGACTTCACATCTGCTTTGCTCAACTAAACAGTCTCACCCCTCTCAATGAAATGGTGCTTTTTTTATACTTTATTTTTAATTGTTGTTGTTCCTGTTGTCATTTTGCAAAGAGCTTTGAGAAGCCACCTTTAAAGGCGCTATATCAAATAACCTTTATGATAATATTTATTATAAGTGTATGTGAGTGTGTGTGTGTGCACGTGCGCTCATGTTGGTCATTGAGATTTTCTGGGGTTCCTATGAGATGATGACTTGTAGGTGGTACTTGGATGCTTTGGTTTAATCAGGGGTGGTACTTGGTCCAAAAAGGTTGAGAACCACTGCTCTGGATCACTCCTGTTTGAAATGAGGTCTCCAATATCATAGGCGAACACCCCAATACACACTCACTCTGGTGGGACTAATGAAATAATATTGACACTCCAGTGTCATTCTTAGTGAAACATGCCACTGGGTTTCTTAATGACCAGGACCATGTGAGAACACCAGCTGAGAACACGTGTCTGAGCTGCTCTGAGGAAAACAGGCCACAGAGACACTGACTGATTTCATGTCATTGAAACACTGTCAGTAAAGAGAGATCAGAATTAATTACCCCC